GGTAGATTTGATATTGGTCTATAATTGTTTATGTCCGCCGGATTGCCTCCTTTATGGACTGGCGTTACTCTTGCTTTTTTGAGGATATCAGGGAAGGTGTGATACTCTATAGATTTGTTGAAGAGTAGTGCTATGGGTGGGGCAAGGGCATGGGAGGCTCTCTTGTACACAATGGACGGAATTTCACTGGTGTTCCCTGCCTTGGTTTTTAGAGAATGTATGATGGACACAACATCTGCCGGGCTGATTGGTGAAAGGAGAAGAGAGTTTGGATAGCTGCCTGAGAGATATGTGTTAATATGTGTCTGAGTCTGTGGGATTTTACTGGCAAGATTAGCACCAACCGATGAAAAGAAACTGTTAAATTCATTTGCCATTTCTAAGTCAGTTGACTGTATACCCCCATCCTTGTAGAGTTTTATTTGGTTATGTGAGTGTTGTTTAGTTCCTAGGATACTAGAGATAGTTTTCCAAGTGCTTTTCATGTTGCCTTTTGCTTCATTGAATCTATTCACATAATATGCAAGTTTTGCCTTTCTTATGATACTGGTAAGCATTGATGAGTACCTTTTAGCTACTTCCTTTGAAACTAGGCCAATCCTAACTTTCTTTTCATATTCATGTTTCTTGTTGATTGAGTTGAGAATGCCACTTGTGAGCCATGGATTGTTTAATCTTTTGTCAGTTACTTGCTTGGTAAGAAGGGGACAATGAATGTTGTAGAGGCTTAGAGTTTTGGAGATGAAGAGGTTAGCTAATGAATTTATATCATGGGTATTATTGAATTCAGAATCCCAGTTAATATTGTAAAGTGCCTCTGTAAGATTGTCTAAAGCTGATTCACTGTGTAGCCTAACTGAAAGTTTCTTGCTTTTTGGTGGTGTTATGTCCATGTTCGCTATGAGAAAGGTAGGATAGTGGTCAGTTGTTCTGTCGTAGATTATACCAGATACAAGGGGAGCTGTTATGTTTGTCCATATGTGGTCCAAGGTAGTGGCTGATGTTTGAGTGACTCATGCTGATATTTTAACTGGTAATCCTACAATGATTATCTTTAGATTCGAGTCTTCCCATGGAGGAGGCTGCCGAAAGTGTTGATATGGTCTATCTTCCCCTTTGTTTTTAAAGGTCCATTTCAAGTCCACTTTTTCTAGAATCTTCACTAGATTATCCGTCCATGCACTTGTTCTATATTGAAGGTTTCTGTGAAGCGATCTGTGTATGCTGTCTTTGATTGACAGTCTGGCGGTGGTTCCAACAAGTTGTGCTGTTATGGTGGCTATCCTTTGTTTGATCCTGTTTTCTAAGGCTGGTAAGCTGGTTTCCATTCTTAGATTCCCTGGACGCGTCCATATAGTTGTTCCCAGCATTGTTCTGAGAGCATCCTTTTGAGACACTTCCAGTTTCTCCCATTGGTTATCACTGAGGAATGTAAGAGCAGGAGCAGCATAGTCAATGAGTGACCTAACTGCTTGAATGTACAGTAGTACATTTTGAGTACTGGTAGAGATGCACCCTCTCTAAGACTTGTCAGGGAGCGCAAAGCTGAGTTTCTGGCTTTACAACTTTGCCAAAGATATTAAATTTCTTGAGTGAATTTCAACTGGTTGTCTATTATGACTCCAAGGTGTTGAAAAGAGGTAACCCACTCAATTTCATGTTCTTGTATTGCCAGTCTGACGTCTTGAGTTCTCATTTTAACGGCCATAGCTTTGGTTTTATTGGTTTATTTTCACTGTTATGCGTTCCGCTTCCCTGCTGATAATATCTAGGCATTTTTGTGCATGGTTCCTGGCACCTTTGCCATTGATGATGACCACAAAGTCGTCTGCATAGTTAAGCAGTTTGGCTTTTGGTAATTTGAGCTTCATGTATTGCTCCATGAGACAGTTGAAGAGGAAGGGGCTTAGTATTCCTCCCTGCGGAGTCCCATTGTCCAGCCTGTTTGAGGTCGATGTTTTTCCTTAAAATTTGACTTTAGCTTCTCGGTTAAGCAGGCTTCCTTCGGCAAAGGCAAGAGCGTGTCCTTTGATTTCCGTATCCACCAGGCAGCACAGTGTAGCTGGAGCACTGGCTAACTCGAAGGCTTTTTCTAGGTCCAGAAAAATAAAGATTCCAGGTTTGTCATTGATTTGATCCAGAAGGGAGGTAAGGCATTCTGTGGTTCCAACACCATTTTTGTAAGCAAACATATTTTGGTGTAGTGGATTGACTTTCCAGTCATTTCGATCAAGAGTCATTCTTTCCGCAGTTTTGGCCAAACAGCTTGTTAATGAGATTGGTCTTGGATTTCCTGGATCTTTGGGTTATGGAATGGGAACTATAATTCTCCTGTTCCAAGAGAGTGGTCGAGTTCTTGTCACCCATACTCTGTTGATGAGATTCAAGAAGGCTTCTTGAACCCTTTTCTCCTAGCTTGGCCAGCATGTTGTAAGTGATTTTGTCCTCACCTGGAGCTGTGTTTGAGTTTTGGCGTTTACGGCTTCTGCGAGTAGAAGGTTCCACGGGTTTACTACTCTATAGGTGAAGGGTAGTGGACATGCCATCCAGGCATGTCTCCAAGCCTGGATGCAATAATTCAGGTGGGGGAGCACCAGAGATTTATACAATTGAACGACTACTTTCTTTTTCTTGAAAGTAAAAATACGCTTGATTATTCCCAGGTTTTTTTTACCGCCCCTCCCACTTGTGCAACTTTTAGTGAATGATGAATTCTGACTTTAAGGTCATTTTCTTCATATATCTGTTGTTAGACATCATTGTTTATGAGGTATATGAAAGGGCACTACACTCAGCCACCCAGGGGCCAGATTCACGAAGCAGTTACGCAAGCACTTACGAACCTGAACATCTTTTCTCAATCTTTAGCGGCTTTGTTTACAATTATAAAACAGTTACTGAGTTCCGAAGCACCAGAAGGCTGTTTATAACAATAACAACAGTTGCTTCTGAAGTTTTAATGCTTGTGAATTGTTTAATATATGTAACCAAAGCCGTCAAAAATTGACGAAAGATGTACACATTCGTAAGTACTTGCGTAACTGCTTCGTCAATCTGGCCCCAGGAAATCAGATCAACCAAAAAGAACTACGAAAGAAAACTTGGCCAAAACACAAAGAAAGATTCAGAGTCGTTGTGTGCCTATATGAGAAGACAAACCAAAACAAAGGACTCGGTAGGACCCTTAAAATATGAGACTAACCAAACTATAATGGACGACAAATGGGCAGAAGTCACTTAATGAACATTTTACATCAGTGATGACCAGACCACACACTAGAATGTGAAGGCTTAGGAAATTACTTTTCACAAAGTCTCTGGACCAAGGATAGTCCCCCTAGACTGGAAATATGCAAATGTTACCTCTATGCAAATACTTCCTCTTCACAATCGACTTGAGAATGGTCCAGGACGGACCGAAACGTCGTCGTCCCTTCACCTTCTAGTGTGTGGTCTGGTCAACTTACTTTAGCCACGTTATTGTGACTCATCGCCTGCACGTCACCTCTATTTTCAAAAAAGGCAGAAAGAGCTCAACGGAGAACTACCGTCCAATCAGCTTGACATCACACATCTGCAAGCTCACGGTGAGAATCCTAAGAGAGAGAATCATTCACCATCCTTCAGTGAACAATCTTGTAAAATCGACACAACATGGGTTTGTGAAAAATAAATTCTGCCTTACAAACCTGCTCACATTTTTGGAAACGGTCACCAGCTACTCAAAGGATTTTCGGTGGATGTTGTATACATGGATTGTGCTAAAGCCTTTAATAAGGTACCACATGAAAGACTGGCAAGAAAATTACAGGCACATGGAATAAATGGAAGAATACTAGAGTGGATAAAACAATAATTAAAACAGAGTGGTGCTAAATGTGAATGAATCTGATTGGAGAAATGTGGTAAGTGGGGTATCACAAGGGTCCATTTTGGGGCCAACCCTTTTAGTCGTATACATCAATGATATAGATGAGAATATTACAAACCACATCATCAAATTTGCAGATGACACAAAGATTTATGGCAAAGTGGGAAATGATAATGATATTGAAGCCTTACAAAGAGATCTGCATGGACTCCACAAATGATCAGATGACTGGCAATTGCTTTTTAATACTGACAAATGCAAGACCCTGCATGTGGGGCACAACAACCCACACCACAACTACCAAATTATTGGAATTACATTACAGCAGATAAATGAAGAAAGGGACCTTGGAGTTAAAATCCACCACTCCGTTGAAAATTGCACACCAGTCAAAAAGGCGAACCAAACACTTGGAATAATCAAGCATATACCTTTGACTTCAAGGAAAATAAGGTAGTGATTAAACTGTACAAATCTCTGGTGCGCCCACATTTGTATTACTGTATCAGAGACCTCATCTTCAGGAGGACACAGCTGCTCTGGAGAAAGTGCAACACCGGGCAACAAAAATCATTCCAGAGCTAAGTCAACTCACGTATCAGGAACGGTTGAGGGCCACAGGGCTAATAACACTACAAACCAGGCATGACAGGGCGGATCTCTTTGAAACTTTAAAATACTAAACAATTTGGAGGATGTTGATCTGGAAAATATCTTTAAAAGGTCAGATGTAACACAAACAAGGAGCAACGGTTTCAAGTTCAACAAGCCACAATGTTGGACTGAGATTGCTTTTTCAAATGCTTTTTCACCCACAGGGTTATTAACCAATGGAACCGCCTACCCGCCGAAGGCGTAAATGCCAAAACTCTTAAGTACAGGTGGAAAAGATTATATAGGCAAATGGGGGGGGAACTTCCACAAGCCGTCGGCTTCCCGTCCTCCTCGAAGTCACTAGTATTAGTGGCTCTCAGGTGAAGTATTATATTATAATGCAGCAGCCCGTGTAACACTTCATCACACGGGTTGTAATATCCACAATTTGTCTCAAGAGAAACGCCTTGCGATAAAGAAGATGTGCTCAACAAAACTGCATCAACGATATTCCTTAGGTTAATGAGCAGACGTATTATATGTAAAGTTTATTACAAAAATATAATCTTAACATGCGCATAGTAACTAATGTTAACAGGAGTGGAAATGGTTTAGGGCGCCCGCGCGTGTGTGGTGAGTTGAGCGCGAACATGGCGGCCTGCCACAGGCGGCGGCTTCACTGTGGCACTGTCGCACATTCCACGCCACATATATTAAAGGAAAACATACTAACGCCTACGGAAAAAAATATCACAGACATTATTAGTCTAATGGACGACACTGCAATACCATTATTTGCTCTCTCGTGTTGGGAGGAGGAAAATCACCACTTTCATATTTCAGAATAAACATTCATACTAGGAGTATAATTTATGTGTTTAGTTTCGTCCATTAGACTGACAACACGGATGCGTACCAGGTCATAGTGGCACGGGGCCTGAGATGGGCACCAGGTCATAGTGCCACAGAGCCTGGGATTGGCACGAGTTCCAGAGGAGCACAGAGCCCAAGAGAGGCACAGAGCCTGAGATCAGAGCACAGTGGGGACGTCCACTCCCCACAATCTTATTTCACTCTAATAAAAACAACAATGTCAAGTCCTACACAAATTTCACTTTGTTGACAGCCTGTTGTCTGCCTCCTTCCTCACTCAGTTGGTCTTCAAGTACAAAGACATCCTCTATACATACACACTGTGTTACTCTCCAAAGTGCTAAGAGATTGCGATGGTTTACAGATAAAAAACGGATCACGGAGAGTTCAAGATCAAAGGTCCCCACCACGGAGACTGTTTCTACCAAGAATGTATATAAATTTGCATATCCGGAATACCCAAGTTGTCTAGGATACTACAATACACACAGACACACATTAGTATTTTTTAATAAATAATTCAGCTGCCTAACATCGACTGCTCGCTCATTCTATCACTAAGGAAACATATTGCACTTTTACACTACAGCAGGTCTCCATTTATTATTCTTGAGTATTTCATGAGCATCACAAGGTAAACATCTGTGGTACAGTGTTTCATGAGCATCACAAGGCAAACATCTGTGGTACAGTGTTTCATGAGCATCACAAGGCAAACATCTGTGGTACAGTGTTTCATGAGCATCACAAGGCAAACATCTGTGGTACAGTGTTTCATGAGCATCACAAGGCAAACATCTGTGGTACAGTGTTTCATGAGCATCACAAGGCAAACATCTGTGGTACAGTGTTTCATGAGCATCACAAGGCAAACATCTGTGGTACAGTGTTTCATGAGCATCACAAGGCAAACATCTGTGGTACAGTCAACTCTCCCTTCCTAAAGTTTGTGAACCTTGTGAATTTGAGGTGGAGGTCCGATGTTGAAGGCTGAGTGAGGGACATTTCGAGTGTGTGAGGTGGAGGAGGAGCCATGCTAGAGGCTGAGTGAGGGACGCTTCTTGTCCTTTCTCCTGAGCGTTCTCTTACCCGCCGCCTCCTGCACTATCAGAGTGGGCTTCATCAGCGTCGCCGACGCAGCGTCGGGTCCTCGCCCAATCAGCGAGCCAATCATCCTACAGAAAATAGTCAAAGTAATTTTTGTAATGATAATATTTCGCAGGCTTTTCAATTTTTTGGCCGATTTCCCCATCTCTTTATGTTACATTTTTCTGGAAAAAAACTCAATAATTGATACTTATGAATATATGAATTGTTCGCAGTGGATTAACGTGAGCTATATGAATTGTGGAGCTCAGTCTCTGAGCCCATTATGTGCCTCTAACTCTTTCCACTTCCACCCACAAGATGGGTATGGGGTGCATAATAAACGAACTAAACTAAAAAAAACCTCGCAGTGGCCAGCTGGGAAATAGTTTCACCCGCAAGGCTACACAAACAAAAATACATTACTTAAAATATTCAAACAAATATTTTGTTCTTATAAATGTACAGACTAAAATGCGATTAGGGGATTTTTTTGTAAACAATGTGATTGGTGAACTTTGATTGTGGAGAACAGCCCGTGCTGCAACCCGTCCTCGACTCAAGTCCATCAGCCCGTCCTCCAAACAAAGACCCAAAAGGGATTCCATGCACCCGCCAAACTCAATGTTTATGAATGAAAAACGGTTTACACGACTCACAACTGCTGACATTCGAACACTTCCGGAACAAGTGCTTCACTGACGAATTTTGTTCGAACCACAACGTTATAAATGCTTCACCCATGCATTACCCACAAATACAAATAATCAACAGAACCTAAACATCTAACCAAACCAATGTTTAAATATGCACAATATGCCAAATATAAAGTGATTAATTTATATGAGAAAATTACTAGCTTGAATGAACAACATGTTAAAATTGATGAATGCGTATTTGGGGTCGACCACTGGATGGAATTGACTTGGTCTAAGGACAAGTTGAGGAGAGGAGTAAACTAAACCGTCCTCTCACTCCGAGATATTGATTATTCGATATTAATTATAATATAATTATTATTATACGAACCTATACCTATACCTTTTCATAATTAATTCGTTTTGTCGGGGACAGTCAAGAATTCCGGGACAAATGTTTTGGCGCATTTCCTATCACCTAATGCACCTATTCACCTAGCAGTTACCCAGGAACTAATCAGTTTGTTGTGGAATTGCATCATGGGGGGGATGGGGTCAGTAGTTCGACCCCGGAGTGGACGGGGACCTTGATATAAGCTTAACATGCATATATATATACACTGGGCTGCCAACCCCCCCCCCCCGAAATTTACTGCTAGGTGAACAGTACAGCAGGTGAAAGGAAACGTGCCCAACCATATCTGCACCGCCCAGGAGATCGAACCAGAGATCCTCAATTGTGAGTCGAGAACGCATAGTTACTCTCACCTTGTAACCCTTCATACGAATAGGGTTGGAACAGTCTGTTGTGCACCAATTAACCTTTTTAATAATAATAAAACACAGTCCAAGATACGCTGTTGGCCCTCACTTTGTATCATGTACAGTACATGGCCTTCATTACATGTCTGCAGGCGGGCAGACACGCCCCCATCAGCATCAATAATAACCAAACAATCACTAATATCCACCAATAAACTAAGAATAGCCTGGTGGAAACACCCTGGATCAGAGTCGGGTGTATGACCAGCGCCTGACGGACGTGCACACCCCACCGTGGCTCTATCAACACTGACGGCGTGTGCGGGTATTCTCCCCGTGGACACAGGTCACCAGAGACCTCTACTGAACAGAGCCAACAACATATATATATCACCTGAGGCGTGTTTACTTACCACAGACATGAAACCGCCGATAAAGCGCCGCTTGAAACATCATCCTGTGGGATTTATTTACTACACGGTAGCATTCACAGCTAAAATGGTACATGTTTTATTTATACAAATAATTTTTTTCTTAATACAACTTGATCAACATTATAACTCTCCCTACGGGTAGGTTTTATCTGGCTATAAGTCACCAGGCTGACACTCTCAATAACAGCGACACAATGTCGTTGGTGATTTAGTGGCGTCGACGACGGCCAGTGGATGAGGTGCGCTCAGAAAACAGTGATACAATATTCGAGAGTTCTCACCTGGAAACTGCGACGATGGAAATCCGTCGCTGTCTGGGCAGAGGACGGGTAAGCTGTAGGGACCTTGTTTCCCGCAGGAGTGCCTGAAAGGCCAGGGTGACACCAACGTGGCTCTCTGCGGCACTCACCTCGTAGAACTGGCACCCGTGTTGTAAGGAGAGGGCCTGGCCTTCTTCTACTGACACCTGTAATGATGAAAGCTTGTCAATAAAGTGGTAAACAATCGTAATTTTGTACCAAATATATTTTGTCTTGACACCAGAATAGACCGTGTTTTAGTGCAAGAACGTAAAATATCGGTGTGATCGTCTGTCAGTGAGGGGATTGAAGAGTGTTTTAGTGACATACTAACTACACAGATCATTGTCACTCTTTGTAAAGAAAATTGGTGTAAATCTTGACTTGCTGCTGATTCTGTGTTAAGAGAATAATCTTGCCCTTGAAGTGCCGTGTCTAAAAGCCCGCGTCTATACTTTATTACACGAACTCCATTTACTTAGTGCTTGGAGCCATCATCATTGTTCATCGTACCACGTGTTGCGTCCTGCCACGAGCATGTCTGCCACGTGCGTGTCTGCCACGTGCGTGTCTGCCACGTGCGTGTCTGCCACGTGCGTGTCTGCCACGTGCGTGTCTGCCACGTGCGTGTCTGCCACGTGCGTGTCTGCCACGTGCGTGTCTGCCGTGGTCCCAGGGAGGGGTAAAACATGATAGGCCATAATTTATTACTCGTAGCGGCTAATTAATTTATCCCTAAAATGATTTCGGATCCTGTGTGAATTACAGGGGAGAAATCTGAGTATAAAATAGGCTTCAGGGAGACGGAACAGGTACAATTGGTTCGTTTAGCAACCATGCATGATAAGTCATTTCATGAGAGGCTACGCCAATATAACTGGGAACCCAGCAAAACTCGATTGTCTTTGAATTTAAATATTTTTTCATAAATGTTTGCACATTTAGTGCAAAGTTAGTTAGTTTGCACAAATTTACATTAAATTATTTACCTTAGAGAAGGATAATAATAATATAGCATGTAATACATTTAATTATAAACTTTATACTAAAGGTTTAGAAACCACATTTATCAATAATTTTAAATCAGTACAGTTGTCAAATTTAGAATCGGATATTATTCCGGTAACAACCTATACAAACCGCTACAATAAGGGCTGAACTAAACAGGTGAACATCAACAGGTGCACCTGCTACAAGTGAGATACACACAATACTGAATTTCAATCACTACAGCCTGGAAAGATTAAACGATTTCAAGGACAGTCCAATACAATAACAAACAGCTGTTTCCTCCTCGTGAAATGTAATGTTTCAGACCATATTAAATTACATAAAGTTGTTCAGAAAAATACTGGCGCACCAACTTCAGCAGATTCTGGTCCGACAACAAATAAGGCAGTAATGCCCTTACCTCATTCGTCTCATCACTATTAACTTGGCTAATAATGGTTTTAGGCATTGTATGTAGTAATAGTGGCTTTAGGCATTATATGTACTAGCTCTATCTATAAATTCAGCAATATTTGTATCACCTCTTGTATGTATGTACTTTACCTGAATAAACATTTGAATTTGAATTTTGAACTTGATAATGGTCCAGGACGGACCGAAACGTCGTCGTCTCTTCAATTTCTAGTGTGTGGTTTGGTCAACATATTTCAGCCACGTTATTGTGACTCGTCATCTGCACAAGGCAGTAGTGTTAATGTCGATTGAAATGTTACAAATGTTAAAAGAAAGGCCTTTCAGGACAGTTTGGAGATACAAACCCTTAATTTACAGGTTATGTAACAGACTGTATGAACCTCCCAACTGTATGTAACAGTTGGAAGGTTCACTGAGGGGTGACGTAGGCACCATACACGGCAACGCTGTCACCAGTACGGATGAGAGGCCTGCGAGTGTGACATTATTGCAGGAAGAGATTTTCAGAGCAAGGGATGTAGGGCTGACAAAGGAAGCACTGGCCAAAGTGTAGAGAATATGGACTTCAGAGGAACGGCTGGGCGTCTCAAAGGCAGTACATGGCCTTCATTAGTGCCTTGTAAGAAATGAAACATGGCGTCCACACACAAGCTCTGGGTTGGGGAAGATCCGGAGGCTCCCGACCAGGGGCCAGATTCACGAAGCAGTTACGCAAGTACTTACGAACCTGTCCATCTTTTCTCAATCTTTGGCGGCTTTGTTTACAATTATTAAACAGTTAATGAGATCCGAAGCACCAGGAGGCTGTTTTTAACAATAGCAATTGATTGGGAAGTTTTCATGCTTGTAAACTGTTTAATAAAGGTAACTAAAGGCGTCAAAGATTCAGAAAAGATGTACAGGTTCGTAAGTACTTACGTAGCTGCTTCGTAAAACCTGGGCCCTGAGTCGCAAGGTAATATGATACACAGCATGAAGGCCACGAAGAGTCCAGGTTGAAGCTGACGAAGATGGCTAAGAGTCACTTAACTCCCCGTAGCGCAGTGGTATCACACACGCCCCGCGTTTCGCGAACGATTTGACCAGGGTTCGTATCCAAGCCAGGGAGGATCCACTAAGCGCCAGTCCTTAACTGTTCGCCTCTGTCCACCCAGCAGTGAATAGCTACCTGGTTGTTAAACGATTTGGCGGGTCGTATTCCAGGAGAAATTAAGATTAGGAACCTGCTCGAAACGCTATGCGAGCTTTACAGCTTTACTCTTCTATATATAAATAAAATAAAAAATAAAAACAAACCATTGTTTTTGAAGACTGGTTGCCCTAATGAAAATGGCCTGAATTTGACCTTTCATTTTACGGTCAATACCACTTTCCACTGTTGACCAGACCAACGGACGACGACGTTTCGGTCCGTCCTGGACCATTCTCAAGTCATTATCGACTTGAGAATGGTCCAGGACGGACCGAAACGTCGTCGTCCCTTCACCTTCTAGTGTGTAGTCTGGTCAACATACTTTAGCCACATTATTGGGACTCATCGCCTCCACTTTCCACTACTTATGGAAAGATGAGTAGAAGGATGGATAGATGAATAAATAGACGATAAGCACCTCGCAACTGCTGAGCTCAGTGGAGGATGGTCAGCTGAAGCCACTCGCTGACTCCATGACCCACAACAGTAATATTTGGCCGAAGGAGAGGTGGAGGAGGGGAGAGGGCGGGGGTTATGATGACTCACCTGTCTACCAGGGTCGAGGTCCCTCTTGTTGGCCAGCAGTATAACAGGCACGTAGATGGGGGCCTTGAGGCGCTGGAGGGAGTCGAGGATAGCGCCGGCGTGCCTGAAGGAGGCGGCGTCGTCCACGGAGTACACCACCACGAAGCCTTCGCCCCAGCGGGTGTGTGTCGACGACACGCCCTCGCTCTCGTCCTGCAGCCACGACAGTTGTGGGTTATTATATTGTACGCTTTTACACACACACACACACACACACACACACACACACACACACACACACACACACACACACACACACACACAGAGTGTGTGTGTGTCAGAGTGGTTGACAACACACACACACAGAGTGGTTCCATTTAGTGTCAGAGTGGTTGACAAATGGAATGCATTAGGAAGTAATGTGGTGGAGGCTGACTCCATACACAGTCACAAGTGTAGATATGATAGAGCCCAATAGGCTCAGGAACCTGTACACCTGTTGATTGACGGTTGAGAGGCGGGACCAAAGAGCCAGAGCTCAACCCCCGCAAGCACAACTAGGTGAGTACACACACACACACACACACACACGGGACGAGGGGAGTGGGGAGAACATGGATGGATAGATGGATGGATACATATATGGATGGAAAGATGAGTAGAGGGATGGATAGATGATAAATAGAGGGATGGAGAGATGAATAGATAGACGATAAATAGAGGGATGGATATAAAGATAGATTGACAGACACATAGAGGGATATATGTATAGATAGATATATACATGAATAGATAGACGGATAGATAGATGAATGGATATGTGTATACAAATATATAGATGGATGAATAGACAGTTGGGAGACAGACATAGACCCGGGCAACACCGGGGACCCTCCCACAGTACTATTTAACACAGAGACAGAGGCGCTGAGACAGAGGAAGAGACAGAACCACCTTTACCTGACGGAGAGAGACGTCCAGGATCTCCACCTCGGAGGTGACGTCGTCCAGGCAGACAGTGTGACGGTACAGGAGGTCAATGGCTCGCCGGTACTCACTGATGTACCGTCGCGTCAGGTACCTCACCGTCAGGGCTGGAATACAAACATACACATATATATATATATACCGCCTAAAGGACAGCGTCCACCAGCCTCACCTCTCCCGCGCTCAGTAGGCGAGGGATAACTACTAAAGATAACAAGGAGATGTGATCGTTGTCAACATTAGAGGGATGATAAATATAAATTGTTTAGCCTCGTACTCCCCCTCCCTCCCTCCCTCCCGCAGAGATGACGAGCTGCCCTTCACCCTCAAACCCCACTGACACAGTACCCCAACCCCCGCCACTGACACAGTACCCCAACCCCCGCCACTGACACAGTACCCCAACCCCCGCCACTGACAAAGTACCCCAACCCCCGCCACTGACACAGTACCCCAACCCCCGCCACTGACAAAGTACCCCAACCCCCGCCACGGACACAGTACCCCAACTCCCGCCACTGACACAGTACCCCAACCCCCGCCACTGACACAGTACACCAACCCCCGCCACTGACACAGTACACCAACCCCCGCCACTGACACAGTACCCCAACCCCCGCCACTGACACAGTACCCCAACCCCCGCCACTGACACAGTACACCAACCCCCGCCACTGACACAGTACACCAACCCCCGCCACTGACACAGTACCCCAACCCCCGCCACTGACACAGTACCGCAACCCCCGCCACTGACACAGTACCGCAACCCCCGCCACTGACACAGTACCCCAACCCCCGCCACTGACACAGTACCCCAACCCCCGCCACTGACACAGTACCCCAACCCCCGCCACGGACACAGTACCCCAACCCCCGCCACTGACACAGTACCCCAACCCCCGCCACGGACACAGTACCCCAACCCCTGCCACTGACACAGTACCCCAACCCCCGCCACTGACACAGTACCGCAACCCCCGCCACTGACAAAGTACCCCAACCCCCACTTTCGTCATGTTTCACAGTTTGTTTGCAGGTGTTAGTGTAACTGTTTGTGTATTTACTTGTTATGCCTGCAGGGTAAGTGATGACTTACGTCGTAAGTGATGTAAGTCACCTCCACTGTGCAGAGGAGGCTCGTCAGTGACACTGGGCTGTAGTTAATTGCCTCTTCCCTATTTTCTTGTAAATTGGTGTCACATTTGCCTTCTTCCAGCAGTTGGGCAACTCTCCCTCTGTTGTTTAAGTTGTTTAAGATTCAGCTACTTGGAACAAAAGATTCCAAGTAGCACGGGTTATGGTGAGCCCGTAGTGGACTTACCTGGCACAGGAACGATGCTGTAACTGTGCTCCCTCCCTCTCCCTCTGTCAGTGACTCATTAAAGATCAATGGTAGAGGTATGCTGAGGGCCTGTGCTGCTTCTTTTAATATCCATGGTGATATGTTATCTGGTCCAATAGCTTTAGTTTCGTCTAGAGATGCTAGTTGTTCTTCACTTCCTCCGTTGTTACCTCAATATTTAACAGTCTCTCATCTCAGGCTCGCCCGCCTTCTAGTACTGGAAGGTGTTCAGGCTCAGGGGTGAACACTCCATGGAAGCTGGCGTTGAGTTCTTTTCCAATTTCTTTATCATTTCCTGTATATTCACCTCGCCTTTTTCGTAATCTAGTCCCTTGGTCGTTAAGTAAACAACAAAAACCATAACAAAAACCTTGGTCTTGGAACAAAAACCACCTAATTATCGCAGGGGACTTTAATATTGACCTCTGCGAGCCAGAACACCCTATTGCTGTTAGCTTCCTCAACTGTATGAATTCCTGCTTCCCCATACCCTTAATCACTAGACCTACTAGAATCACTGATAGCACTGCCACGACTCTAGATCACATCTGGACAAACATAACCTCTCCGCTTACTTCAGGTATAATCACCGATAGCACTACAGACCATTACCCCACATTTCTCTTAACTAACATTAGCAAACCACCTCTTGAGTCAAGAGAGATACGTTTTAGACTGCACAATGAAACTGCTATAGACAATTTTATAACTGCTGCTGATAATGTCAACTGGGAGTCCGAGTTAGGTAACATAGAGGACATCAACCTAGCAGTGCAATCTTTTCTTCAAAAAACTCTTAGCCTTTATAATACCCACTGTCCTATGCTTACAAAACAAGTCACAACCAAAAGGCTCAACAATCCCTGGCTTACAAAGGGAATACTTAAATCTATTAATAAAAAACATGACCTTGAGAAGAAGTATAGGTTAGGAATTGTCTCCAAAGAATTCTCAAAGAATTACTCATTATTGCTATCTAAGATAATTAGACGAGCCAAAACTAAATACTACGAAGATAAATTTACCCAAATAAAGAGCAACATTAAACAAACTTGGAGCACAATTTCACAAATATTGGGATCAAAGAAATCTTTAAATAACAAACCGACTCTCCTGTCTAATAATGATGGTCAGCTTTCAGCCTCTGATTCTGCTATTGAGTTCAATAGGTTCTTCTCTTCCATTGGTTCATCCCTTGCAAATGATATTCCATCTTCCAGTACTGACATTAAGGACTATCTTACAGGTAACTATCCACAGTCTCTGTACCTAAAGCCTATTAACTCAACTGACGTCAATGAGATAATCCTTTCCCTTAAAACCAAGTCTGGTGCCCTTGAGGAGATACCAACTTTAATTTACAAAAAAGCCTCCAGATCTTTAGCCCCTGCTATTGCATTGCTCTTCAACAAGTCACTTGAACTCCAAACCTTTCCAAATATTCTAAAAAAAGCGAGAGTAACCCTTGTCCACAAATGTGGTGATCCCACAGATGTTAACAACTACAGACCTATATCAATCCTGCCAAACTTGTCAAAAATTTTTGAAAAACTAATCTATAAGCAGCTTTACTCATATCTAGCCAAACTCAATATACTTAGCCCTTGCCAATATGGCTTCAGACCCAAAAAAAGCACTAACGATGCACTTATTAGTATGCTTAACTCGATTCATACAGCTCTTGATAAAAAGGAGTTCCCTGTTGGGTTATTTGTGGACCTGCGTAAAGCTTTTGATACTGTCAACCACCAAAACCTTCTTCTTAAATTACATCATTATGGAGTCAGAGGACACTCCCTACAATACCTCAAATCCTACCTTACTGACAGGCTCCAATATGTTTCTGTGAATAATGCAATTTCTCCCACCCTACCCATCAACATTGGTGTTCCTCAGGGCAGCATACTTGGCCCTCTCCTCTTTCTCATCTACATTAATGACCTTCCAAATGCCTCCCAACACCTCAAACCAATTCTATTTGCTGACGACACAACCTTCATTTACTCCAGTCCTGACCCCCTTGCTCTAAATGCCACAGTAAATACTGAGCTAAATAAAGTCCATCTTTGGCTAACTGCCAACAAATTCACCCTTAACATTGACAAAACTTTCTATATTCTGTTTGGCAATAAATCCTCTAATCAAATAAATCTCAAAATAAACAATACCCAAATTTGTAACAAATTAGATGGCAAATTCCTTGGCATTCTCATTGACCACAAGCTGAATTTCCAAGGACACATTCTAAATATATCAAAAAAAGTTTCAAAAACTGTGGGCATTCTTTCTAAGATCAGATATTATGTACCACGCCCTGCCCTGGTGACTCTCTATTACTCCCTTATCTATCCATATCTCAACTATGGTATTTGTGCTTGGGGCTCTACTACCCAAAATCACTTACGTCCTCTAATTACTCAACACAAAGCTGCTATTAGGACAATATCCAACTCTGGCCCCAGACATCACTCGGTACCCCTACTCAAATCTTTGAATATGTTAGACATTAAGTCACTGCACATTCTCTCATGTGTATTATACATATATAAAACGCTAAACTATAATGCCAATCCTGATCTCAAAAGCTTCATAGAAGGTTGTAACAGAACCCATGAGCACCACACCAGAAATAAATACAGTTTTGATATTCCTAGAGTACGACTTAATCAAACTAGAAATGCTCTACAAATCAAGGGGCCCAGAATGTGGAATGACCTTCCCAACCATGTTAAAGACTGTACCTCTCTCAACCAGTTTAAGTTAAAAACGAAGCTATACCTAATAAATTCCCTGTAACCTACCTTACCCTTCTATTGTCAACCAATGTCTGTTTTTCTTTAAAGAGCGCTGTTTGTCGACTTAATTGTATTTGTGCTGCTTTTTCATCTATGTTTTCATTTCTTGTTTTCATTCTACTCATTATGCTCAATTAGTATTAAGCTTGTCATTTAAGTTTATCATGCCCGAAACGCTTTGCGTAATAGTGGCTTTAGGCATTGTATGTACTAGCTCTACCTATAAGTCAACCAATCTTTGTAAAAATTTATTGTATGTACCTTACCTAAATAAATTATTTTATTTTTTATTTTTTTTATTAAGTGCCATTTTCCTTCTTATATGACTATGTAGGAGCTTAGGTTGTTTGTATGTTTTAGAAGCAATACCATTTTCATAGTGTTTTCCACCTTTTTATATTTTATGTATTCATTCCTAGCTCTGTTGCATCTATTCCAGTTTCCTTCTGTCTTTTGACTCCTGTATTACTGCCACTCCCGCTTTTCGTTATTGTTTCTTGACATTGTCTACTGAACCATGGGTTATTATATTCTCTACTACACTCCCCCCCTTATTGTTCGCATGAATCTCTCTTCTGCCTCTTTGCACCTCAGTTTGAATTGATCCAACATTTCCTGGACTGTTTCCCTCTATTAAGTTCTTCCTCCCGTTGTACATTTCCAGATACTTTCTTACTCTCGTGTAAGCTTCTCTTCTATGCTCTACTGTATGTGGGTGTGCATGTATGTGTGTATTTACTATTTGTGCCTGCAGGATCCAGCTCTCCTGCGAGAGGGGGAGAGAGAGAGAGAGAGAGAGAGAGAGAGAGAGAGAGAGAGAGAGAGAGAGAGAGAGAGAGAGAGAGAGAGAGAGAGAGAGAGAGAGAGAGAGAGAGAGAGAGAGGGAGAGAGAGAGAGAGAGAGAGAGAGAGAGAGAGCGAGAGAGAGAGAGAGGGCGAGAGAGAGAGAGAGAGAGAGAGAGAGAGAG